TGTGTGCGCGCGCGCTTCACAAAACTAGAAAGGGGAACATGAAACAGGAAAAAGGATCTTAAGGGAAATGGGGGAAAGCACAATTAAATAGAGTGACAAGAAAGCAGAAGGGGAAACTAACTATGAGAAGAAAGGGCACCAACTGAAGGCAAGAGGGAGCTTAAGGAAGGAAGTTCAGAGTAGCGAGTGAGGAGAAAGTAGAATGGCACAATGAAGCCCGTTACTTTCTTTAAAAAAAAAAAATGCATATCAATGTTTTGCCTTAATGTTTATCTCTGGGCCACATGTGTCTGGTGCCTGTGAGGCCAGAAAAGGGCCTCAGATCTCCTGCATCTGGGGTTGAGACAGTTGTAGGTTGTCATGTGGGTGCTGGGATCTGAACCTCCGCATGAGCAGCAGGTGCTTTTAACCACCGGTCCGTCTCTCCAGGCCTGAAGCCCATCCATTTCTATGCAAATATTTTTTTCTGTTTTAACGTTGCTTTAGGGGCTGGAGGTGCAGCTAAGACTGAATACTGCTGTTACACAGGACCTGAGTTAGGTTCTCGGTGCCGATATCAGGCGACTCACAACACCTTGAAACTCCACTTCCAGGGGGATCCTGTACCTCTGGCCTCCAAGGGCACCAGCACTCATGTGCACATACCTTTGTCTCCTTCACACACAGTTAAAAATAATATAAGTAAAACTTTTTTAAATACAAATTAATTTTAAAGAAAGATACCTTGTATATAGCCTTGTGGATTTCCTTCACATGCCTCCTTCAGCATCTACTCCAGCCCTTTACACTTCTGAAAACTGAGCCCCACCACCTACTTCTCGAAGACAAGGGTCTGGTCGTTCTTCTCGCTGAGTGAAGGTCATTGCTTGCTCGCTTTTTTTTTCCATCTGTCCTCACAGATAGGGTCACATCCCTCCGTTCTCTGGAAAGGTACTAAGCGGCTTTAGCTTAACCTGGACCGAAAACTCAAAACTACAGGCTTTAGAAGACACATAGGTTACAAAGTTAGTCTGACCCTTTCGATAGTAAGGATTGACAGACTGACAGACATCGAAGGTGCCTCCACCCAGATCGGCGACGTAGCGGGCATGGTGCGCCCTCCCCGCCCACGGGGCCCTGTGGCTCAGCCAGGACCAGCCGCTAACTCGGGCAGAAGATTCGGCCCCAGCAACCTGGAGAGGCGGAGCGCAGAGCGGCTGCGCCCCATCGAGGGCAGTTCCCCGCGCGCGCCAGCCGGACGCCCGGCCCGGTTGCCCCGGGAAGCCGGGCGGGTGCCGCCACGAGACAGAACCACAGCCTCCAAGCTAGAACTGTAAACACCGAGGGCTTGTTTTTAAAAGAGCGGGTTCTTGGAGCATGAAGGTCGCGTCTGCAAAACTGATGCGAAGAGGATGACTGCCTAGGAGATGCAACGAGAAACAGAGGCCAACTGAAATAGGAGAACAGCAAATCCTTTCCTCGTTCGGCATTGGTGGTTCAGTGGTAGAATTCTCGCCTGCCACGCGGGAGGCCCGGGTTCGATTCCCGGCCAATGCACGCTGCTTGTTTTTCGATTCCTTTTCTTTAGCCTAGCTCGGTAACTCAGGGTTCTTCTTTTACCGGTTTACCTTTGAGGAAGTCAAACTTAACCTTGCGGCCATATGGAATTCGGAAACACCCTACCCTTGCAACACCTGGGAGAGCCCGCACTTCTCTCCTCTTTTTGAGACCAATCCTCGCTTTCTTCAAGCTAGGGACTCAGAATTCCCTTTTGCAAGTTCTCAGTATCCTCAATAGAGGAACCTGAAAGCAAACGCTTAAGGAAACTCAAGGACGATTTTATTAGAAGAGAAGCCACAGACTGTATTGTACCCACTGCAAATGCCAGAAGCTGCCAGGGGAGGGAGAGAGTCGTGCCTTTGGAGGTCAGCAATGGAGGTCTGCAAGCAGCTATAAAAAGGGACTGGAGGTCTTCAAGAAAACACTAAGAAGGACAAGTGTCAAGGGCAGCACACTAGGATTCTGGTCAGTGTTGTGCCCGAATCGCGATACCCCAAAAGACCACCACCAGGAGCCGAGTCCATTGCAAACCACATGAGGATCTTTTTATTACAAATTACAAGCTGCAGCTCAGGCTCACAGCGCCCACCGCTGAAGTGGTGAGAGCTGAGAGCCCTGTGCCCAGGTTAGTTGGATAATTTAAAGATTCTGGTCCCTCCCAGCAAGCCCAAGGCAGGGGCGATTCCTGCCTGGCAAGCATCTATTGGTCAAAATGCTGCATTTTGAAATGATTGGCTATAGGAAGGTCCCCAGACCATTAATGATCTGGTGTCCCTCCCTAGGGGGGGGAATGGGCCAGTTTCCTAGCAACTGTATCTCTAGTGGGTGGGAAAAGAATGCAGTAAGGCATGTTCTTCCCCTCAGGGCATGGCTGGACTTCTCCACCCACATAGTTCAGGCCTTAATTAATAATAGCTGCTAATTTTTAATCTTTTGGTCTCTCATCAGCATCTAAAGATCGAAAGAGTAAAAGAACCAGGTTTAGTGGCATACGCCTTTAATCCCAGCACTCAGGAGGCAGAGGCAGATGGATTCCTGTGAGTTTGTAGGCCAGCCTGGACTACAGAGGGAGTTCCAGGTCAGTCAGGGCTCTGCAGAAAGACCTTTTCTCAACAAAACAAAACAAAGGAGGAGGAAAAGGAAAAGGAATGCTTTTGAATTAGAACCAGGAAAAGAGGGCAGATTTAGCAGTGAAAATCTGTAAGTACCTGCCTAAGATTGTATTCCTTTGACCTGGAGGAAAACAACTTTCCCTTAATGGGCATCACTCTGAGGTCTCACCTTTTCATATGTAAATGAGAGTCCAAAGCTGATAACAAGAGAGAGATCCGGTCTCAATGGCTTCCAACTCTGCTAATGCCTGTCTAGCTGCCTAATACCAGCACTACTGGCCTCCAGCCCCAGCTGAAACTTCTAATTTTCAAAAATAGATGTTAGAACTCCTACTGGATAAACGGCTGTTTTCTTCCCGGAAAGATCACAGCCCAGTGCGGTATCTTGACCTCTGTGAACGGAAGGGATACCCCTGATCCAATACTGAGCACAAAATAAAGCCAAGCTCTACAGTATGTTTTAGAGCATGCCCTCAGACTATACATAAAAGCCTGTCACACCAACTAGCCGTACGTTCTCGGTCAAGTGGTTTCATCTCTCTGGGGCACACCTTCCTCGGTTTTAAAATGAGATTGGACCACCTTTTTGTTTGTTTGCTTGTTGTTTGGGGGGCTGCCGGAGCCCACCAGCAGAGTCGAACAGTTCTTGAGTTGGGAGTGAGGATTAAAATTAATAAAATAAACACACAGCACACAGGAAATTTTTTAAAGGTCCAGACTCGACAGCCATGGCAAAAGGCAGACTGCTGCAGCAAGCTGTGCCAGCAGCAAGTCTCTCGGCTCTGCCTGCCTCCTCTGCCTCCTCTGCCTCCAGCCCTCTTCTCTAGCTCCTCCCCTCTTTCCTGTCCTCTGGCTCCTCCCATTGCACAACATTGTATCTAGTTGCTTATTTGTGTCCTGTTTACACAAGAGTTGAGACAGGATGCTTGGAGCATCATCTTCAGCCTTCTTCTGCAGTAACTGTCGGCCTGTCTTTTTATTGTAGAGTTTCTAAGCCAGAGTAGAAACATCTCAGAACAATGTTTAATTTCCACCAGGAGCCTGAGGAGGAGGTGTGACCCTCACAAGCTATCCCACCTGCTGTCACAAACAAAAGGAGATGGACTTGCAAGTTCTCTGCCATTAGTAAAGGCCTGCTAAAAGCCATCTCTCCACCGGCCGCTTGGAGTCACGGCTCCCGACTTGGGGCTGGGTGGGTTTTCATTTTGCTTTGAGTCAGGGTTTCTCTGTGTAGTACTGCCTGTCCTGGAAGTCACTCTGTAGAACAGGTTGTTCTTAAACTAAGAGATTCACCTGCTTCTGCTTCCCCAAGTGCTGGGATTAAAGGCCACTACCACTGGTCTGGATCACCTTCTATAAAGACTTTCCAGACTAATGAGCTCTGATTTCAGACAGTAAAGAATGCACTTAATCCACACATATTTATCAAGTGTTTTATCAAGTGCCATGACCCTGAACTAGGGTCTGAGGTGTGTGGTGGTAAACAAAACAGGCAGTCACTCCTGTAGCCAGTAAACTAATGGGTGGAGGAAGAGAGTCACACATTAAGCAAGCAAGCAATATACATTGACTGATGGTAACAACGAAGGAGGAAAAGAAAAAGCAGGAAAGGGGAGTTAGGAGTTTGGGAGAGGAATAAGGTTATACTACTGAACAATCAAAGAGCCCTTACTGGTGACATCTGAGTAAAAACTGAAAGGACATTATCTGAGTCTGTTTTCTGTTACAAAGCATATGAGACTAGGTTGTTTTTTGTTTTGTTTTTTTAGGAAATAGGTATATTTTGTTCATGGTTATAGATGACCACATTTGCTTGGCTTCTGATGACAACTTTGTGTTGCTCTGTGCATGGCAGAAAAGTACAGCAGCGAGTAGGGGCATGGGTGAGAGACAAAGCACCTAAGCTGCAGGATAGCAGGATAGCGAGGCTATCCCTTCTGGAAATCAGCAATCCCTGCATCTGTGGAGGCGTAAGCTCATCCTTTGTGATCCAAATGCCTTCCAGTGGTCTCCACCTCCTACTGGCACTGCACTGAGGATCAAGCCTCAGCATGAATTTTGGCTGGAACAAGTCATATTTAAACGAAGTGAAATGGGATGTGGTTCCTGTAAGCGAGAGAGCATGCCCGAGACAGAAAATGACAGCTTATAGGAGTACAGCCGCTGTGCTCAAAGAAGAGCAAAAATGACTAAGAACAAGAAAGAAAAAGAAGGAAATGAGAACAGAGAGACAAGGTCATGTGGTATCTTCTTGGAGAACATTGCAAAGTCACGAGATTTCCTTCTATGTGCAAGAAGAAGCTTTTAAATATTTTTGAGCAAAGAAGTCACAAGTAGGAGAGCCTTAGCTCGGGTTGATTTTTTGTTTTATTGCAGGAGGTCAAAGACAGGGCATCATGTATATTGGATAACAGCTCTGTCACCAATCCTCAGCCCACCGCCTGTGTGTTTATTTTCTGTGCATTTAGAGAGAGAAGGTGCATCCACCATGGTGGGCGTGGGGAGGTCAGAGGACAACTTTGAGGAATTTGTTCTCTCCTTCTGCTATATAGGTGCCAGGGATCAAACTCTGGTCTTGTCAGCAGGGTTAGCAACAGGCACCCTTTCCGGGGAGCCATCTCAACAACACACCCGTACAGCCCACGCCAGCCTTCTTTCCTTGAAATAGGATCCCACAGAGTTATCCCAGGCTAGACGTGCACTCACTGTCTATATAACCCAGGCAGGTCTTGAACCAGGGATCCTCCTGCCTCAGCCTCCTAAGCAGTTGTAGTTGCAGGATCAAACATCAGACCTAGCCGAAAGTTGCTTTCAAAGGAAGACTGCAGGAGAAGCAACGGTGTGGCTGAAAGGTGCAGCAGCCACGCTGAGACGTCACTTGTCCTGAGGAGCCTTGCTCTTTCTCACTGACAGGGTTTCCCTCCAGTACTCCCGTGAGGGCTGAAGCTTTCTCCACACGCAGAAATAAAGCCCTGTGTCCACGGCAAACAGGAGGCACATCGCTAGGCAGAAAGCAAGCTGGTACCAAAGCAGAGAGGTGATAGACGCAGGATCTGAACCTGGGAGGAGAACCAGAAGAATTAGAAGGAGCGAGCCATTAATACGGGAATTCAGAACAAACCGTGACGTTCCTAGGGCAAAGCCTTTGTAAAGTCACCCACACCAAGTACTTAAAGGAAGGACAAGGGCATATAAGAAGTGGGAAGCATTCGATGGACTTTTTATCTCTCAGTCTTCTCCAAGAGGTTGCTAAGTCTGCATTTCCCAAACGGTGACCATGGCCACATCTGTCTGAAGTTATAGAAGGACAAAAACTTTGTGGTCATTGAGATTTAACAAATACCACAAGGAGCACCATTTTTGTTTTTGTGCCAGGATCTCTCTGTGGCCCTGGCTGGTTTGGAACTTGCTTTGTAGACTAGGTTGGCCTTGAACTCACAGAGATCCATCCACCTCTGTCTCTCAGGTGGTGGCGTTGAAGTTTTTTGCTATCATGGCTTGTTGAAAGAGAACTTTTAATGTTTTCTTTATAATAGGGTTTCCCCATTCTCCCCCATTTGAGACAGATTTTTCAGTCAGAGTTTTGATGAAAGACAGCTTTCCCTCTCCAGGCTGATCTCTAATTATCATCCTCCTGCCTCAACCTTCCAAGTGCTGGGATTACAGAATTGCATTAACAGGAATCCTTAAATGTATTTCATTGCACTATGGATACAAAATGAGAGGAACAGAAGTCATGTCGCATTCTCAGTTTGAAAACAGCCTTTGGGCAGCCTTGAACTCTCGATCCATAGACCACCTCAACAGCTCTTCACCAACCATCTGCTCTGGTCCTGTGACAGGGAGGTATTCACTGACAATACTAGTCTGTCAAAGCAGGTTGATGTTTAACCTTGCTGAAGCCATTTTGTGTTCAGTATCCATCTTTGTTCACAAGGTGAAATTAAGTTAAAAAAAACTTAACTCTGCTTCCCAGAAATAGTTATTCATAGCTGACACTAACAGACCTGCCAGAGGTCAAGTTAACCTTATATTTTACTATCACTCAATGGAGTCATAATTGATGCTCTGTTATCTCCACACTTGGCTGCACTCTGGATGCGCTCTATGTTACCTCTGCACTTGGCTGTCCTCTGGAAACCGTAACCCCCACCTCTCTTACCTCGCTTGGCACCAATCAGCTCATAGGTCAGCTGATAATATTTTGTCTAGTTGGCCAAAGTGTATTACACTCTATTACGCCCTACCCTTATCTTCCGCACTTGGCTTTGCTATAAAAAGACTGCCCAAAAAACACGTCGATGCCACAGTTTGTCTCCCAAGTCCACTCTGTGTCCCTAATTGTGGTTAGGCCTGGGGTGTGCATTCAATAAGCCATCCCTATCTGACTAAGACTGGAATGTGAGTATTTTGTGTGGCTATTCTTGAGCTACAACAGTTGCAGTGCCTCCTCAAAGGCATAATTAGGATTTGACAACGCAAACTTTCTTAAGCACAGAGTCATGTTTCCTTGTGAGTACAGAAAGACTCCCAGATCAATTTGGCTGCCCCAAGCTAGGGCTTAAGAGGTTAGTAGATAGCTGTAGGTCTCAGAATCCTAGCATTAGGACACAAGAAACAGAGCGGCTAGTATGTTTTAAAGCTGGGCATAATGGTTCACCTTGGACAGTGATGGTCACAGGCTTGGATGAGTGTTGTACCGTTCCTAGATATGCTTCGCAGTAGTAGTCGCCACTGTGACTGTGGTTGGCTTTTAAGATGGAGAATGTACCATTGTAATGACGAAATCTCACAGCTTTTTCATTCTGGAAGAATGTAATCTTGTTCAGGGGTTTGTTCAACCAGCTGTGGCACCTTAACACGATGGTTTCACCTTCATCAAACACTAGTTTAGCTGTCTGGAGCAGCAGCCAGTCTGAAGATGGAAAGGAAGTTTACCATAAGCAAGATACAAAGGGCAGTAGTGTCTGGAGCCTTTAATTTGGGAGGCAGAGGCAGGTGAATCTCTGTAAGTTTGAGGCCAATCTGGCTAGGACAACCAGGGCTACACAGATAAACTCTGTCTAAAAAAACTGAGAGAGAGAGAAAAAACAAACAAACAAACAAACAAACAAAACACCAAGGGGCTGGAGATATTGCTCAGTGGAATTCATGCATAAGGGCCACTCCCCTAGGGTCAGAGAGTATCGTACAATCATAACACCTCAGAGGTCAAGGCAGGACATTCAGAAACTCCTGGTCATCCTTAACTATATAGCAAGCATGGACTACATGAAACCCTGTCTCACAAAGAAACAAACAAACAAACAAATGAACAAACAAAAACCTTTGCAACATCCTCTCACGTGATGAAAACATGACATTAATCTATGAGATACTGAAAGCAATTTTAAAACAATTTTATGGATTTGAAACACTATACTTGTTATGCCTAGATCACAAGACCCCCAAGAGATCACCAGGAACACGAGTCCAAATGTAAAACACACAAGGGTCTTTTTTCAAGCTCAAGCTTGGGTTGAAATCCCTCCAGACACAGCAGGTTGGGAGAGTGTCCTCGAGGTCTGGGGAGACAGGGTTTTTAAAGGGAAAAACCACAAGCCTTGGCATTACATGATTGGACAAAGGGGCAAAGGAATGCAATGCACTGTAAACAAGTTGGTTAATTGCATCTGATCAAATCACAGAGAAAAACAGTCCAAAAGGGGTATCTTGACCTGGGAACAACTCATGTTTTCCTTGACCATCCCTGTGGTTATTGGTTAGCCTCAGTTGCTGTGTCTAGCTACAAGCTGCTGAGAACATTGTGCAGCCTTTTCTGGAACTCAGGGGTGGGGGCCAAGTCACTCTAAGGACAGTCAACTTAAGGTGGAGTCCGAGAAACAAAATGGAGTTAGCCCTGTTACTTTTAACCTCTTCATACTCACATAGGACATTAATTTCAGTAACTATAGAGTTATAGAACAGAGCCTGAATCCTTCAGCTTATTATAAGTACAGAGTTTATGGTCTCAGATTACTAATTTAATGCTATGACTGTTGAACAAATCTTACAAAATGAGGTAAGTAGCCATTTTGCAGTGAGTACAGCCTGAATCATGCCAGCCTCTCTGTCGTGGTCTACTCAGGCTGCTTTGACAAAGTACCATAAACTAAGTACCCACGAGCCACATGTCTGTTAGTGCATGTCTGTAACCCCAGAACTTGGGAAGCAGAGCAGAAGGACCAAGAGTTCAAGGTCATCTAAATTGTGAGCTGGAGGCAAGCCTGGGCTATATGGTACTCTATTTCAATAAGCAAATGTTCAAAATATAACCGTGGTGGCCTATAGACAATACACATTTACTCCTCAGATTAATCCAAAGCAAGATGCAGAAAAATTTACATTTAATAAGAGTCCATTTGCTAGTTTATAGAACTGAGGTTTATTGTCACACTCTTACAGAATTTTTTTAGGTCTCTCTTTTAAGGACCTAGTTACCTCCCCAAAGGACCACCCAATTTTACCTTGGTGGTAAAATTGCAATATCTCAGTCTTGGAATACAAACATTTGAGAGCACAAAACACCCTGAGTGGAATCTTCCACCAACATTAAAAAAAAAAAAAAAAAAAAGAAAGAAAGTGTATGACCTTTTGGGGGAATGTAACAGTTTGTGTCAATGAAGCTCAGGATGGCCAGGAACTCATTATATAACTAAGGCCTCAGTTGATACTACAAACAGATGTGAGCTATCATGCCTGGTAAGCCAGGTAAGATTTGTTTGATTATTTGTTTGTTTGTTTGTTTGTTTGTTTGTTTGTTTTGAGATGTGTCAGGTCTCACTATAGTAGCTCTGGCTGTCCTGGAACTCAATATGTAGACCAGACTGGCCTCTAACTCATAGAGATCCAACTGCTTCTGCCTCCCAAGTGCTGGGATTAAAAGTGTGTGTCACCATGCCTGACTTTTCGATACGATCTTTATAAATTCAGCGTTCCTTGTGAATCTGAACAAAAGGGGCAGAACATTTTAAAACTTAAAATTACTTTTCTATCTTAAGAGCATTCTTACTACAACCATTCCCAGCCTTCACTGATGGTGGGAATCTCACACACACACACACACACACACACACACACACACGGCGTGTAAGCTCCACAGAACACATGCGGAGGTCAAAGCTGGTTCTCTGCTCCCACCATGGGTTCCAGACATTGAACTCAGGTCTGCATGTTTGTGTGGAAAGTACTTTTACCAAGAAACTGATCTTGCCAGCTCTACCTTTTTGTTTGTTTGTTTGTTTGGTTGGTTGCTTGATTGTCTTTTGCTTTTGGGGGGGAGGTGTGTTTGTGTTTTGTTGGTTTGGGGGACAGTATCTCACCATGTGGCCCTTGCTGGCCTGGAACTCACTATGTAGACCCAGCCAGCCTGGAATTCACAGAGCTCCACTTGCCTCGGTCTCCTGGGTGCTGGAATTATAGGCGTGTGCCACTACAGCCCACGCTATTTGTCTGTTTTTAAAAGGAAGAATAATTTATCAACGACACTGCCTGTGGGCAGCAGACCGCGCAGTGACTAGAGGGCTACCTATAGCTTCTAAGGGTTTTTAATTTGTAATTTTATATTTTCATAGGAAAAGCAAGAAGTCCCATTGGCTGTTTCAGGACAGGTGAGATGTAAACAAAGGAAATGGGTAGCTATGGTATCACTGGGAAGATTTTTAAAGTTAACTCAATATTTATTTCTCAGAGCACTGCCAACAGAAACTGACTACGCCTCCAGGATCTCTTTGGCACTGGAACCTGAAAGAACCATTTTCTTTTGTCTTATTTTGAGACAGTCTCACTATGTAGCCCTGGTTGGTCTAGAGCTTACAGAATACACCTGCTTATGTCTCCTGGGTGCTGGGATTAAACGCATGTGTAACCACACTCAGACTTAAAATGCTGTTGTTGTTTTGTCGTTGTTGTTGTTTTTTAAAATTACCTTCTTGGTATTAAACAGGTGAACCTAAAACACAAGAAACTTACATGTACCATCTTCAGGGCTTACGTAGCAAGGCAAATCTGACATACACTATAAACACACTTATATTTTCAGATGTTGCAGTGGGCTAGAAATAGCGTCTGAGGGCATTTTTCATTAGAGACTCCATTAAACTGAACATCGTATTTATGCAAACCTAAATCAGATCATGTGACTCCTTAAATTAAAACCACCTCATCATGACACAATGGAATACTGTTCAGCCATAAGAAGGAATCCTGTTTGCAACAACCTGGATTGAACCAGAAATCATATGTCCAGTGAGCTAAGCCAGATAGCGAAAGACCAGTATGGAATATCACACATGCTATAGTATTGAAAATAGAAGATCTTACAGAAGTGGAGAGTAGAACAGAAGATAGCAGAGGCTGGGAAGCGAAGAGGGGAGGGTGGTCTGGGGAAAGGTTGATTTATGGTCAGGAGCAAGACATTTTGAGGTGCTATTGTATAGCAAGGTATATCTATAACCAATGATAATGTACTGTATATTAAAAAAAAAACAGAAATAAGAATTCTGTGTTTAAAGAAACGATAACCTATCCCAATCTAAGAATTAAACAACATACACACGTAAAGAGATGTCACGTTGTCCTCCATAAATATATTTTACGTATCGGATGAAAAAAAATTAGTTTCAAGTTTTTAAAACCTGAAGTTTTACAGGTTTCTATCTCCTTTAGGGATGAAAGTCGTCACACAGCCTATTTGCTTCTCCGTGTTTGGTGCGATCCCCTTGCCCTCGTCTCTGGCCTCATTTTCCAGGCTTCAGTTTTTTCCCTGGGGGTCTCACCTCCTTGCCCCTCACAGGGTCAAGGCTGCTCCTGTCCTGCCGTCTGTACAGGTCTGATTGCCGACAGCCTCCCCGCTTCCCCACCCTACCATCACAGCGGGGGTGTTTACGAGGAGGCGGGAACTTCCCTGTTCCTCTCACGGCAGCCTTTCTGTGGCCTTGAACCCCTTGCTCAACCAGAGCTGAGTCAGATAAGGCTGTCGCCTCACACAATACCAAACAGAGCGGGTGAGAAGGGAAACGGGGCAGACAAATGCTTTTCAAAAAAGCGCTTGGTGATGCTTCGCAGGAATCAGGCCATCCTCTTTCTTGTAAACTTCTGTTCTGTAAGCAGATTCCCCGGCTGCTCCCTGGGCCCGGCTTTACTCACCGGAAATCACGTCCAGATGTACAGGGTCGCTGAGGCTGCTCTGCTCCATCCGGCACCGGTATTCTCCGCTGTCATTGACCGTGGCTGTGAACGTGTAGCTGGGCTGGACCTGGCTCGGGATGGACCTCCCATTGTGGAGCCACTGGGTGGAAGAGTTCCCGGGGTTGTGGGACCCTTCGCACTTCAGCGTCACAAGGTCTCCCTTGAGCACCTGGATCCACGGGGGCTCAAGTTTCACCACAGCCTTGGGAAGATCGGCTGAGAGCGAGAGAACAATAAGGAATGTGAAAAAGTCCCTGTGACTGACCCAGTTAAAGACCTGGGGATGATGACTCAAAAGCGTAAGCCAGCAGTGGGAAAGGTGAAGCATTTAACACCTGACTGCGGCATATAAGTAAATTCAAGACCACTTGTGGGCAATTTAGCAAGTCTGTTTCAAAATAAAAAATAAAAAACGTTAGAACTCAGTGGTAGAAGCTTGCTCAGCACACTCCAGGTCCTGGGTTCAATCTCCAGACCATTAAAAAAAATAATTGTGTAGTTGCACTGGTCTTTTTCCCTTGGGTCTTTGGAGAATCCAGCTGGAGTGTTACCAAGGATTATACTCCAGGCCCTGCTGTGAGAGCACCGTCCAATCTGAACCCAAGCCTGATCCTTGGTAAAACAGACATTTCTCCACAAAGTACACATAGCATTTTATTGTAAGGAAGTAACACCGTGAAACCACAGGAAGCACGAACTCACCTGTCTGCCCGTCTGCAAAAGCTGTAAATAAGAAGAGATAGGGTCAGTGTGGGGAGGCGGCAGCGGAGGAAGGCAGGTGTGTAGAAGGGAAAGTCGACACTCGCTTGGAGCCTCTCCTTCGCCCATGAACTCCCTCCAGGGTCTGTTTCTAGTTTATCTTATCCGTTTCTATTTTTACCTAGCTCTCACATCCTCCTCGCCTAATCCTGCCACGCGAATGGCACACCTGCAGAGCAGGTACGAACGTTTGGACAGCCTTTCCCGGGACTGTGATTCAACACCTCTGAATTCCGACCTTAACAAACCAAACCAAACCAAACCAAACCAAACCAAACCAAACCAAACCAAACCACCACTAGAATAGTAGGAAGTGAGAATCCTCTTTTGTTGTTGTTGGGACAGGGTATCACCGTGTGGCTCTGGCTGGCCTGGAACTCACTGTGTCGACCAGACTAACCATTTACCATGTAGCCCCGCACCCGGCTCTAGAATCCCCTTTTCGAGACAGGGTCCCAGGAAGCCAGGTTGGCCTGCAATTGGAAGTCACTGTAGCTGAAGCTAACCGTGAACTCCTTGATTCTCCCGAAGCCACCACGAAAGTTCGGGGATTACAAGAAGGTCCCGCCAGACCTGGATCTTCCCTTTTTATCTCTCCCCAGTTTCTAAACTGGCTCCTTACTACCCTGGTCTCTGGGGTCCAGACCATAGGGGAGGCCGAGATTATTGTATTTCAGATGACCCTCACTCACCAAACAGCAGCAAAATCGCCAGTGGTTGAAGCAGCCATCGGCTTCCAGGACATGCATTCTGAAACATCTGGGTCCTTAAAATCTTTCAAGAACTGAATCGGCGTCTAGTGAGATTTAGGAGATAGCTACAAAAAGAGGAAGGAAGTAAACTGTCTTCCGCAGCCCTCGTGGGTCAGCCAACCATTTCTGCTAACCTAAGAATAATAAATCAAACAATGGACTCTGCTTGTCAGACAAGACTTTCTACACCTAGTTCCTTGTCATACCGTCGGGGAGGGGGGGACCCCAAGTAACTGTTTGCTGGGAGGAAACTGGGACAAACACTAGAAAGCAGCAGAGGGAACCTCTGTTTACTCTCTGGGACCTTGACTTCGCGTTGCTTTCACAACTTCCTGTCCTGCCTTACAAGGCAGAAAGTCCCCAGGGAGCTTTGACCCAGTCATGAGATAAAGAGACCTTTTAAACAGGTGATTGAAAGAGTCAATATTAGACAATTTATTATTATTATTATTATTATTATTATTATTATTATCCAAAGAAATTAGTTCAAGAGAATCTCTAGCCTATATGCAAGAGTCTGATCTTGCCCTCCACATACAGAAGAAAGTTGTTGAGGGTTTTTGTTTTGTTTTGATTTTTGAGCCCTTGTCTCTCTTCGTAGCCCTGACTATCCTGAAACTCACTACACAGACCAGGCTAGCCTTGAACTCGCAGACGTCAGCCTGCCTCTGTCACCTGAATGCTGGGATTAAAGGCACGTGCCACCATGCCCAGAGCAAAACCAAAGTTTTTAAGTATAAAAAAATAAGTGTATTACTAACTTCCACCTCTAGAACCTACATGGTGGTTAGAGAGAACAGATTTCCTCTGTCCTCTGAACACACACACACACACTAAATAAATAAATGTGTAAAAAGAAACCACATTTGTTTTTGGTCTATATGCTCATCTATACAATTCTGACACCAAATATGTTGGGGACGTGGCTTCCATATCAAACAAGTCTCCAACACCATCTGGAGTTCCTACAATTTCAACTCAGTTCTGAAACTCTCCACCTGGAATTAACAGGGCTGTCTCGTAGGACAGACATAACAAAAGACAGGAAACTTGACATGCATGTATAGTTGCCTGTCAGTTAATAGACCCCTTCTGTAGGTGATGGCTGGCTGTTTGGTAACCTTTCCTGGAACTGTGCCTTCCTTTTGTCCTGGAGGCTTGTTAATTCTTTATAACTTTTGCTATAATGTTTCAGTATTTCATGCTTTTTAATTCCTAAAAGGCCAACATAGATTGTTTTGCCTCCAACATATTTCAATTTAGACTCAATTTTAAGTATTTAGAGGGTTCAAATACTTGATATATATACACACATACTATATATCAAATGTGTACACAAAAAATGATTTAGAAAACTCCCAATTTCACAAAGAGATGAGCAAGCTCAGCTCTGTGCACTGCACTGAAACCTCAAAGTACCCACTACTTGGATGGCCCCTGACTTCAGGCATTAAAATAGATGGCATGTATGGGGTAACAGCAGGGGTCTCTGGACCGCTTTCGGGGTTAACAACCTCGGGACTAACTCATATCTCTGCTTACAAGAACCAAGAGGAAACCCTAGATGGCTTCTGTGTTCTGTATAAAAATGCTCATGAATTCTCTGCTCGCTCTCTCTCTCTTGTTCCTTCCTTCCTTCTTCCTTTCTTTCCCATTACTTCTCTGCTCTCTCTCTCTTCTTCGTTCGTTCGTTCCTTCCTTCCTTCTTTCCATTCTTCCTTCCTTCTGTTTCTTTGGTTTTTTGGTTTGGTTTGGCTGTCCTGGAAGTCACTAGGTAGACCAGACTGGCCTTGACTCACAGGAACCCATCTACCTCTGTCTCCCAAGTGCTGGGATTAAAGGTGTGGGCCAGCAAAGCTCGGCTCTCTGGTGTTTCCTTATCTCTGTCTATTGCTATGTTCTTTTCTCCTTTTATGTCGGTCAACAGAAGAAGCACCAGTCTCTCAATCCAACCTTCATTCCTCCCACAATCAAATCTCCGTAGGTTCCGAATAACACTCTCTGACTGAAGAAGCAGGAAACTCCAAGCTAGAATGTTTAGTTTACCCCACTTAACTCTGAAAAGAAAAGAAAAAAGAGGTTGTTTTCACAGTACTTATTTTAAAGTTATTTATATGTGGGTGTCTCTGTGTGGGTATATGCATGTGCCTCAGGTGCCAGGAGGTCCAGGGGAGAGTGTAGGATCCCTTGGAACCAGAGCTAACAGCAGTTGTGAACAGTTCTGGGAACTGACCTCTAGAAAAGCAGTCTTAACTCCTGAGTTGTTTCTCCCCATGGCATTGGTTGTTTTAAAACAATAAGTGGTTTGTTTGTTTGTTTTCAGACAGAGTTTCTTTGTGCAGCCTTGCGTGTCACTGGAACTCAATCTATAGACCAGGCTGGCCTGGCACTCAGAGAAATCCGCCCCTCTCTGCCTCTCCAGTGCTGGGATTGGAGGTGTGCATCAGCTAATTAATTGCTTTAAAAAAAAATGCTACAATAAACAACAGTAAAATTTGTAGCTTAAAAAAAAAAAATCTTAGGCTCAATCACCCTTCCATTCCTTTCTGTTACCGTATCTACTTTGTCAGGGAAGCTATCCTGCCTGGTAGTTCTATTTAACCTGGAAGTTAACACACTTCAGCTACCTTATACGTGACTCGATACAGGCCTCTATCTTCTCCAGCCTGGCTTGCTGCAATAGCCCCCAACTTCTCCCTTTCTTCGTTGTTATATGCATGCCTGTTCTCAGCAGAGCATGAAGGATCCTCCTGCAGCTAACGCAGGCTACATTCGGGCGCTCAAAAGTCCTTCGGTGGTTTCGCTTTCCCTTCAGAGTGAAAGTGATGTTTTCACAATGTGAGTGATCAGGCCTCCAATTCCCTCTCACCAGTAACTTCCGTGACTGCTCTTCTCCTCAGTCTGTTCCACTCAGGAGTATTCTGGAGGATTCCAGGTGCGAAGCACTTTTTTGACGTTGCTTAATGCTGCATTCAGCTTTCAGTATTAAGTAACCGTGGACAAGGGTCCACACAATACGAGCCAAGAAAATCCGACGAGAAAAAGTGGCTTTTCATCTAAGTACCTTTCCAGGTCACAATAACATTACATCAGGGAAGAAAATCAGACTCAGGCTGTGTGGGAGGGGCCTGTACCTGTGCCCTCTTCAAGGGCTTCAGGAAGCAACGGTCTTCTCTCAGGGTCCGGTGGGATGGCAAAACCTTGTCAGGAGTGGGATTCGAACCCACGCCTCCAGGGGAGACTGCGACCTGAACGCAGCGCCTTAGACCGCTCGGCCATCCTGACAGCGGGCATGCGCAGAAGGCCGATGGAGAGGCTGAGAGCCGAGGCCCACAGGCGAGCGCTCACAGCGCTCTGCACTCGACGGGGCTCCCGGGCTCCTGGGCTGGGTGCTGAGGCTGTGGACCTCGCCCTCCGCCCGGGACCCGCTGCGCCCGTCCCGGTGTCACCTCGCCGTCGTGGTGCACACGGAGTCCCTCCAGGTCCCGGCGGATCCGCGCTGTGACCCCGCAGGGCGCCCCGGCCTGTGCGAGCAGCCTGGACGGCGGCCGTCGGCGGGGCTCCGTCCCCGAGGCCCCCGGGCTGGGCGCGGAGGTCGTGGTCGTCGGGGAACGGGGCCGAGGCCCAGCGGAGCGCGATGGTGGGTCCCGGCGTGGAGGAGGGCGGCGTCGCGATCCTCGTTAGTATAGTGGTGAGTATCCCC